CGCCGATACCCGCAGCTGCACAGGCGCAGCGGCCGTGACTCTGCCCCCTGAAGCACGCGGCTGCTGTGGGGTGCGCTGCCCTCGCCTGACTGTGGGCACAGGCCTGCGCAGGGCGCTAGAAGAGGGTCATGGACTGACAGCATACTAAGTAGAATTGTAGAATTGTTTAGGTTGGAAAAGTCCTTTAAGAGCATCCAGTCCAACCATTAACCTAACGCGACCAAGTCCACCACTAAAACAATTAAGGGGAGAGTGATAGTTAATTTCATGTTTCCTGGCTTGGTGGCTGGATTATTTTTTAATGAAAGTAAAACTAGAATAGAATCATTAAGGTTGGAAAGGACCTCCAAGATCATCAGTCCAACCATCAACCCAACACCACCATGCCCACTAAACCATGTCCCAGAGTGCCACATCTGCCCATTTTTGAACACTTCCAGGGATGGTGACTCCACCACCTCTCTGGGCAGCCTCTTCCAATGCTTGACCACCCTTTCCATAAAGAAATTTTTCCTAATATCCAACCTAAACCTCCCCTGGCACAGCTTAAGCCCATTTCCTCTCGTCCTATCGCTAACTACATGGGAGAAGAGACCAACACCCACCTCACTACAACCTCCTTTCAGGTAGTTGTAGAGAGCGATAAGGTCTCCCCTCAGCCTCCTCTTCTCTAGGCTAAACAACACCAGGTCCCTCAGCCACTCCTCTAAGTCCTAAAAGACAACATATTTGTAAAACTATGTTCTCCCTTTCATTAATAAATACTGCATATCTAACTGCTGCCTTTAGCATGCCAGCCATCTGCAAACTTACCTCCCAGGACAGCACCTCTAAACTCTTTTTCTGTTGTATTTCAGTTCACATTTTTACAACTGCCAAGCATTTCAGTCAGTCATCTTGTCTCTCATGCTCTTCCCAGACCAAAAAAACGCAGAGCACAGAGGCAGCACACTTCCTTTGCTTCCACAGCACCAGGAGCGAAGGCCGCCTACTCCTGGGGTTCAGCTGCACCTCTCAGGGGAGAGCAATCCCCTTTTGCTATGGGCAGCCAAAACCCCCTGCATTAGTCACAAAAAGGCAAATGTTACCTCCCTTTATTACGTATCTGGCAAAACAGGAAGGGGGTACCCACAGGTGGTTCCAGTGTAGGTTCTTCAGCAATCTCCTATCTAGGCTTTACCACAACTACTGCTTCAGATTTCACTTTTCAGCTTAGCATGGGTGAAGGGGCCACCACACTCTGAACCGCGCCGTCTGGCTCTGAAAGCCAGCGTCACAAAATGCAGGGATGCAGAACGAGAGCACTAGGTAACAGATGTACGGGGAGGCTTTGCTGCTTGATGTTGTACACAGTCTGTTATCTTTAGAAGTCCTGATCCGACCGAGGCATTTCACAATACAAACTTACAGTAGAACAAAGTGAACTTAAATATTGCAAGTGGTATGTTTAACACATTCACACTTTGCCAAAAAGGCAGAGCCTGCTGAAGTAAAAAGCTTAATAAGCAATTATTAAGCTGCTCTCCCAGAAGTACCTTCAACTACCACTGCCATTTTTTTTTTTTTTTAAATAGAAAAGGAAAGAAACCCCAAATTTATGACAAAAAAACCCAAACAAACCCAAAAAACCAAAGTCCTCACCCAGTCAGGCAGCCAGTTATAGGCATCTTGGAAATACAAGACAAAGAAACTAAAATGGGTGCCAGCTCCCACAGTAGCAAGTATCCCCTCTCCTTCCCATCTCTCCACAGTACTGCACTGCCTTGCTGGGAGCAGCTACAGTATGTGCTTCCTTGCCATAAAAAGAAGGTAGTTACAGTAGCCCACAATCATTTCAGGAGTGTAGAGGGTAAAAATTCAGTATGAGAATGGATACCTTTTTCTTACAATCAATTTCTGCTTTCCAATCCATCAGAAAGACATATGTAAAAAAAAAAAAAAAAAAAACAACAAAACAAGAAAAGGATAAGGCTGTTGTTTCCAAATGATTATAACTGCAAGAACAGGATTCATGTAGTTGTCGATTGTCCTGAACAGCCGCACAGCTATTTCCAAAGAGCAGCACTATGGAAAATGCACACCAAGCCAGCAGTCCACTCCCACAAACGATACAGTTCCTACCTCCCTTCCATGCCAATGTCAATTCTTACTACTTTTACTGAGCCACTCCTTCCAACAGCGCACATAGCAACTGCTCAGCATCACTTAAGCACTAAGCAGGAGATAGTGCTATAGAAAATACTCCTTGAGATAAGCAAGGAGTCCTGTTTTAGTTTCCACTTGTCTAATGTTTCACTGTTGACACAACATTAATTTCAAAAGAATTATGATTTGATAGACTCGTTTCCCCAATATTCTCAATTTTTAACTGATCTTGATGCGCTATAGATAGCGTTTCTCTTGGCTAGTTCTTACTTTGTCAAAAATGAGATGATTTAGATATTGAAATTTATCTAACATTTAACTCTTGCTACTCATCAGTGTCTTATCAGACTTCTCTCACATCAAGGCATTTAACTGAATGTGTTTATGAACAAAAACCACAGAACATTTTTGAAGTAACAGACAAAAATAAGTTGTTATTTACAAGTAATATATATAATAAAACTACTACCGTGAAAGGCCTTTATACACTGTAACTGCAATTTTTACATTGTTTAAAAAAAATTTCCTTAAACAGAAATTGTTCAGAATTATCAGTTTGTCCATACACGTGTATGTTACAAGAAATACAACAGCTTTTCACATTTTTAAAATTATCAGCGTAATTTACATTTCCCCCCCCAATGTCAAGTGAATATTTAAAAATGGTGCCAACTGGAACGAAGACAAGTAGGTATGATACAATCAATACAATCAATTTGGAACATATTAGTGTTTCAAACTATAAATACGTGAGAAAAATCCCTAATATTTGGCATGATCCCCTCACCACCCACCCCTAAAAGGTCAAAGCAAAATGGCCTTTTAAAGTAACAGTGATTATTGCATATTGTATCTTTGGAAAAGCAGAGTTTTAACCAAAAATATTTTTAATGTAGTTGAAATATAGACATGTTTACCGCAAGGAGGAACAAGAAGTAGAACACGTGATCAGTAATGTTATCAAATCAATCCAATTAATTTGTTCCGTCCTTGCTTTGAGTAATCCCCCATACCTCAGATAATCCATTTGAACGAATGGGTGCTTCAACAAGCGCAAGAGCAACAATCCAGTTTTACACAACCAACTTTTCATTCTGTAGAAGTCCTTTAACAATCTCGGTCTTAACTTATATTAACCCCTCATTTAAGTGCTGACAGGTAAATTAACATATATTTCAAACTGATGTAACAGGGAAAACATTTACTTTTTTAAACCAGGATATACAAAAGATGATTTGCATAGTTACAATTCAAGCACAAAGTCACTGTAAATAGGTACAAAAGCATTTTATAAATTTACTGCTGTTTGTGCCAGACAAGTCTTAGATAGGTACGAATGTAAACCTGAAGGGACTGAGGAGAACAGTCAGTGTTTTTTGCTTAAAAAATACGTAGAGAATGCTTTTTAAAGGTTTTAAAAAATATTTTCTGCAGCAGGAACAAACAGTTCAAACCCCAAAGCAAGCCATCCAAAATGCCCAAATTCGTCCTATACAGCAGAGAAAGTTTGTTCATAGGTTTCAAACCTACATACCAAACGAGGCACTAGTTACACTATTTTGGAATGTGTCCATAACCCTAACATTTCAGTTCACCCCAAGACTTCCAGAACACTGTTGGCTTCTAACTTCCTAGGAAAACATATCTTCAGAAGGTGGTGCGTATGAAAATCCAACAAACGCATCATCCGCCTCTAGGACACTGGCATTAACAATGTTGTAATCTGAAGAAACGCAAACTGAGTATGGGACCATTTCTTCTGTAAACACTGCATCAAAATTCCCAATATCATCTGGTCCAACCTAGAAAACAGAAAGATCTATCAGTTGTCTTATTAATACTGTGTTTTAAACTTGTGCTTGTCCTTTAGATTTCAAAATCTACTTTATGTCATTCTTTCCTATTTAAGTACAGGAAATTTAAGGAAGCACACCACAACATCCCTGAAAAGTTATTAAAAGCCTGCCTGTCTCTTTTAGGCTGGAGTTCAGGCCAAAGCCTACACACCTTTATGATTTGATAAACCTAATATATAAGAAGAAATGTCTCCTTCTTAAATGTTAGGGAAATGCAAAAACTAATACCCCCCCCCCCAAAATCCCAACCCCCAAAATCAAAACCCACAAAAAAACCCCCCAAACCACACCAAATTTTCTTTCTCCCATTTTCCATCAATAATACTTTAAGTGTTAAATTCTAGCAATAGTACTGTTGTTATGATAGATCAGCTTCCCAGTAACACACCTGAGGACTAAAGCACAGTAATACTTAGTCACAGAGAGAAGAGACCAGACAGCTAAGGCTTCTTCACCAAACAGACATAAACTCAACAAAAGGTGATGCTCTTGCCTTTGTGAGATCGCACCTCATGTGATTTTAGGAAGGATTTCCTCCTCATTCCCCCACCCCCGAGTTTTTGGACAAGCAGTTGCAGGTTGACACAGTTTAAACTGAAGGGAGGATAAAGAAAAGCTGCAACTAAGGCTTAATAACTACAAAAAAAGCAGGAAATCAGTCTTTTGGAAACTCTGCAAATACAGAGGCTATCTGTATTTTCTTCTTTGGTCTTCAGACCCCACAAAAATTGACAGTATTTTGACAGGAATGAGCAGAGGAAACAGCAAAATGTCAAATCGAGTTTTAAGTAAAAAAAGACAGTATCACTGCTCAAAATGACTGCTCAGAAGGCCAGTCAGCACTGCGGGGTTCCCATTCTTCACCATTCTGAAACAAACATTCTTTGCAAATAGATGAGCCCACAAAAGCAGAAATTTGTCAGGTATGAACTGAAACAGCACCAGACACCTACCACATTAGGATTAAATGGTGGTGGAATCTTCTTCTGAAGAAGATCAGTCCAGCTGAGAGATTCAAAGAACGGGTGTTTTTGAATTTCAAGCTGCAGTAAGGAATAAAGATTTTAGATGCTTCAGAAATCCATCCTGTGCAACACAGTAAATACTCCTTCAGACTGCATGCACATAAGGAAGTCAAGTCCTTCATCAGTTTGTTTATTCACAGTTTACTTTGCAATAAAAGCTGCAGCTGGTAAAAACAGCAATTAAAATTTGTTAGCCTGCCTCTACAAACTGGTTTCCTTTTAAGATTAGCTCAGTTGGTTAGAACATGGTGCTAATAACACCAAGTTCACAGGTTCAATCCCTGCTTAGTGCAGGAGGGTTGGGCTCGATGATCTCTCAAGGTCCCTTCAAACCCAAAGCATTCTATGATTCTGTGATTCTATAATTGTGTTTTCTGCTTTTAAGACTTAAAATCAACCACCTTGAAGTCTACCACAGAGCAAGAGTGTCTTCTGTTAGTATCTCTGCTCCTGCCTTAAAGTTTTGTCAGTTTTTGTAAAGCAGATCACTGAGAAGCAGCTGCTTCAACAACTCTGCAATACGCTTACTAGTCACAAAGCAACAAAACTATGCTAAACACTACCATCCTTCATCTTGCTCCACACTGTGAGAACAACCAGCGGGGTTAGCTCAGTTGGTTAGAACATGGCGCTAATAACGGCAAGTTCACAGGTTCAATCCCTGCTCACTGCAGGGGGGTTGGGCTCGATGATCTCTCAAGGTCCCTTCCAACCCAAAGCATTCTATGATTCTATGATCGTCTAAATGCTCTGTTACAAGGTCATCAGACCACCTAACGTTAAGGCTGCAAAGCAGAAGACTATGAAGATCTCACAATTAACAGACGGAGTCCTTCTAGATCATTCCTCATCGCAGTTCTGAAGACATCTATACTTTCTTGTGTCACCTTCTTGCAAACAAAGTTTTTGTTGTTACACAGGGAAAGCATCTGTCATGATTTTAAGGCTAAAAAAGAAGAGCTGCTGTTTGCAAGGTATTAGTGCTCTTCTTCATCTGAAGACTGTTTTTCATGTAGTTAGTTAAACTGACATTACCAGAAAATAGCCTTTTCTTTTGATTATTTCCCAGTTTCACTATGAACAGTGAAACCTACCTTAGTACTGACCACTACACCAGGAATTGTTTCCTGTGTTTCCTTTGCTGGCAGGTACAGCAGCAACCAACTCAAAGTATTTATATCCCACAACAATCATCTCTCTCCTGTCCCCAACAACTTTCAGAGATTGACCAGACTGATGTCTTTAATGAAGAAATAAAAAGGAGGAAAAGGGAGACAGACATAACAGAGCAATCTCTATCTCCAACTATTAAACCTGCGCTGTGCACATAAATTTGGTGATGTCCCTTTAAATGAAGTACAGCTTGATAAATTAGGACAGTACATACAAAATCTTCCCTTGCTCCAAGTCTGCTTTGCCGATCCTTCTCCAAAAGTTCTTCCAGAATAGACCAGGCTGTAAGACTGATTCCTGGGCGCAAAACTAGGGGTTTATGAAGAATATTCTCGTACATTTCAGCAACATCACGGCAGTAAAAAGGAGGCTAAAAAATAAAAGTTATACATTAATTTCAAGCCACATGCAACATTTTGTTTCATGTGTATGGATCAGTAAATAATTCTATAAGAAATACAAACTGCTAGTGTTTGTATTTCTAGCACTTCTAGTGCTAGAAGAAGAAATCTACCTCTTTTATGCACTAACTTTGAGTCATCCCCACTGCCAGGTCTTTACACTCGATAGCTTCCCCACCCACCTCCTCTTAACATGTTCTCACACTCAGAAGTAGCCATAGATGCCATCCAGCTTCAAAGCTCCCATTGAACTTGCCTGAAAAGAACATGAGAGTGGAAAAACAAATCTATCTCCCTATTTAAGGTCCTATGGGAGGAGATAAAACTCAAGAAAACTAACAGAACAGATTGTTGCTGGAGTGATGACATATGACTAGCAGCAGCATAGTAAGATTTTTTGTTTTAATGCTACATCAAGTGGAAAAGCTAGGAGAAATTCTGGGAGACCCAAGTAAAAAAAAAAGTATTTTAATTTTATTTATCCCAGTATTTGGCAAAATTTCACTTATAAGTTGGGGTTTTTTTAATGGGGTATTATCACTGTTGATTCAGTTTAGTCTCACATTCCCTCAAAGTGATGACTACTTGTCTTCATCTGAGTTGATGTCCAGCAGTTCACTGGAGAGCAAAATTTTAGACATCAAGAGGCAATACAAAATCCAAAAGAGAAAAACAGGTGCTGTGTTAAGTACAAGACAAACTGTTCATCCATTTAAGTGAAGTATTTGAATATTTTGCAAAAGTTAGCATCTCTAACAACACTCCAGGGTTACTTCGCATAAAGGGGAAGGAGGGTGGGAAGCAACCTCTGCCCCCCCATATTAAGTACATACCAGCCCATAAAGCATTTCATAGAGAACTGCACCAAGGCACCACCAGTCCACTGTGTTGTCATAAGGCTGCTTTTTAATGACTTCTGGTGCAAGATACTAAAATAAAATAAAAAAAAATTAAAAAGTATATTAGACCATTAAGCTAGCTAGAGTAAAACCTAGGTTTTAGTCACATCACAGTAAACACTGTCAGGAAAAGTTGCTTCATAGCAATTGTAAGACTGCTAAGTATTTATCTTGTCCTTCAACAAACCTGGTAAATACTTGGTCACCATCTGGTCATTTACCACATAGGACAGCTGTTGTCCCAGCTGAAACAATACTTCCCACACACTACTGTTTTACCAAACTACTTTGCCACCTCTATTATGAAACTTGCTTTACATTTCAGATAGGTTGCTGCACTGTTGCAGGGGCAACATCTCTCAGGAAGCTGGCTACTAGCCATGCCTATTCTGCCATCCCCAGCCTGCATGCTCCCCATCCAGTATACAAAAATGAAAGGAGAAGATCTTAATTCTGCTTCAAATCTATCATTATTGAGAAATTGTATGACCTATATTAAGTTTCACTGTAAACCTCAACGAGGGCATGAGTTGCGAGTTGCTAAACTAGAGATTCTTGTCAAATAGATCACTTGACTGATTTGTGATAAACATCTGGTACCATTGAACACTGAATGACAATGCTAACTGGCTTCCATCTGCCTTGCAAGAAATCTGCACAGCATCTCAGAGTTTACTAACACTACAGCACAAGGACAGCCACTTCATAATACGAGACTATTCTTTTTAAGTAATATAGAATTACCATGGCTGGATCATCATCTCAGTCCTCATCTACAGCACACAAAGTTTTTAACCTCTCAAAACAAGGGGATGCTCACTTCCATCATTCTACTATCCAACTTCTGAAACTTAATTCAAAAATAGATACTAGCATTGTCAGACAAGGCACAGACTGAAACTCACAGTTTAATTACATCAGTCTTTCTCAAACTTTCTGTATGTGTGAGTGCCCTGTAACTCATTTGTCTATAGATGACCCTGCAAAAGCATGAAAAGCAGCTGAAGTATTTTGAACTCAACTACTTAAGCTTTTTCTAATCTTTCACAGCCTTGTTTGAGCTTTTTAGGTGTTGGAACTCACCAAGTCATTCAACTCAGTGTTTAGAAACACTGAGAAGATCATTACACTTTTAGCAGGATCGTGAAAGATTTGAATCTAAGTCTTGCATTAGTAAGGCTAATAGACAACTGCTATGTTTAGTCTTGACATTTTTAAGAACTCATACGAAGCAACAGCATCAGCATCCTCATATGTTGCAATTCATGCAAGTCCAAGATGAGTGTGAAGACTAAGTCTCTGAACACAGGAAAAACACCCACAGATTTTCTCAAACAGATCCAGAGTTACCAGTGTTCTATACATTGTCCTTTGAACTTACCAAAATATTCAACAAATACTGTTTCAGCTCACATTTACCACTCAGCTTTATGGATTCCTACTCTGATCATAACTAGGGTAAGTTGTCACATGTTGCCGACCTGCCTTTTTTTTGTTTTTTTTTAGTTCAAATGTTTCAGCTGAATACTGCTCCTCACTCATCCTTTGCTGCCTTCAAAGGCCTTTTCTGTAATTTGAAGTACATTTATCAGATTATCAAAGCCAGTAATCCTGGCATTTCAGTGAATCCCTCATATGTGTTCAAGACTTCCAGATTCTGATTTTAGTAAAGAGAGACAACAGAGTTGAAGAAACTCAGTCAGCAAGTTCAGTTTCACACATACGCAAAATTTGCTCGAGACTCACAGATACTAAGTCCTTATAAACTTACTAAAAATCAGTGGCAGAATATGGTAAGTAGATTCATATTGGCAAATCTGTTGCAGCTGTTACATAAGCTAGCTGTCCTGTGTCTAGCCAGCAGTTACGAGATATGGGAGGAACAGAATGTTTGAAAAGGACTGGAAAAAAGGAGGAAGGAAGAGATGTGTTATGGGGATGTGGGTAGTAAGTAGGAGACACTGTGTATTAGTAAAAAAGACAAAGGACAGATCTGCAGGAAGCTTGGTTTTGGTTTGGTTTCATGGAAGAGTGTGTTGAAAGAATACAAATCTCCAACAGTACAAAATGGAATATTTGATCTTCCAGTTACATAAATATTAATAATAGTCAACAGTCATTAATTAGTTACTGGTCAAAAACCTGTGAAAGTTGTAAACATACTTCTGGTGTCCCACAAAAAGTTGCAGTGGTATCAGAACTTGCAATCCCCTCTTTACAAAGTCCAAAGTCTGTCAACACAACATGACCCTGTTTAAGAAAGAGTGGTATTTTAAAAATGGAACATTGTCAACATGTGGATATACATAACTGTCAATTTTGTGAGAGAACACAGAAAACAAAAAATAATGTTGCATACTTACTAGTGAATCTAGGAGAATGTTTTCTGGTTTTAAATCCCTATTAAAAAAAAAACCAAAATGTATTAATTCAAAACAGCAATCCCTAACATAAGAGCTTCAGAGGCAAGGACTCAAGGATTCTTCAGCTGAAAGCTTCAAGTTTTGGTGAAATTGTTATGTTTGAGTTTCCCATAAGATGATTTCATGTAGTAGTTTTTAATCAGTAATTTGTCCTATTTTGAACTTGTGCGAGACAAGGATGCATTTCAGAAACTTACCTGTACACTATATTTATGGAGTGTAAGTAGCCCAGTGCACTGGCTATTTCAGCAGCATAAAATCTGGCTCTGTGCTCAGGAAAGGAACGTTCTCTTTGTAAGTGAAAGAACAGCTGTAAATATGCAAATAGTAAATAGGAACATTACACACAAAAAAACAGGTTAACAACATGTAATTTTAACAGTAAAAAGTAATTTTATTTAGCTGTCCACTTTTTTTTTTAAAAAAACGTAAAATGAAATACAATTGGTTTTGCTGCATGACTTCGTCATTCCTTCGCTCACTTCTTTTCCTCTCTTTTGTAGCTCAGAAATGGATAGGTAACTCAAACACATAAAAACTTTCCCCTACAACCAAGACTAGTCAAAAGCAACTAGAGTAAACCACTAAGCTGTGAATAGAGTTTGGCAAGATTACATGATGCAAGACAGCCTCCTAACACAGTGTAAACTGGTGTCAAATACATAATCATCCATTATGTATATATAACCTGTATAGGCTTGCATTTGAAGTTTTGTATAGAAGTATTTATATACTTGTATTCTGAAATCACCTAGATGTAGATCACTTTGGGAGATGTATATTCCAAGCTGATCCACAAAATCTCTCAACTAGAGAGCTGTCTGGCTTCAAATAATTTAAACAGATATGGAAGTCTAGCTGAAGATTAAATCACAAATATACAGATGAAACTATACTACGCATTCAACTTCTGAAACTTTTAAGAGAACAGGAATTTTCTGTTTTCTGCCTACAAAGTTTGGGAAAAAATATAAAAAGCCACCAAAGCTTTTCAAGCACTTCATTCAAATTTGAAAGCCGTTTTGAACTGTGTGTTAGTTTGCCTGGAAGAATGCCAAACAAAGTTGTGGCCAGGAATTCAGAGTAGAGCAAACCAGGAGTTTGCTAATACTGTCTAAATAAGATGACAGTACATTAGACAAGAGAAAGGTCCATCTCATCCTAATTCTGACACTTAGAAGGGATCAAAACACCAGCTCTAGAAGCATCATAAATACTGACGGTAGGCCATATGAACTAATGTATACCCCAGTTCATATCTCATCCTGGTTTATTCAGCATTCTTTATACTTGTCTGTGTATATCCAGGTGCAGCAACATAATAGGAAGCTTTGAGATATGCCAAAACAAACTATGTAAATTCTACCCCTTCTCCTGTGCTCTTTCAGCTACCAGAGTTTTATCATCTACAACAGTATCCTGTCTCATCCTTCTTTCCTGTTCTGCTTTAAGCACCTGTAAGACCTTCTAATGTGTACATTTTACACCAATAAATTACCAAATTGAAAACACAGCAAGTGACAAGACATACAGCTCTTCTTTAGAGCATATATGTTGAAGAGTTCCTTTCATACAATAATTTTTCACTACATTGTTTTCTTCAATCACAACTAATTTCCTAGATAGGTCCAGGTGTTATTAGTCTACAAGACCCTTGATTTTCCACAGAACCTTTTGGAGGAACAGAAGCAACATTTTATGCCCTTCTCATGTGTACTGGCTGTTCAGCCAGTTTATACATGAGTTTCCTGAGCACTCCTGGAAGTACTGGGTACTTTGAAAAGCAACAGGTCCCTAGCTGAAGACAAACTCCTCCAGAAGTGTATTTAAGCATACACAGACTTTCTCCATTTCTTTCACAAGTTTTCCCCCATGTTACTTAGTGGCTCCTCAGATTCAACAGCATCACTTCAAGGCAAAGAATCCTGAGGATAAGGCTATTTGGCAAGAAGCAATTAGACCATGCAAAGCTACAGAATAATCCCAAGGTTCCCAATAATATCAGTGTAGTAAATTCAGTTGCCAGTTTCCTTTCTCCTGCTTTCGAAATACTAGCATCTCAGCTAATGTAGATGCAAGAGGAAAAGACAGTTTTACATGGTGAAAAATGTCAACATAAGATTAATTAATAATAAAAGTACATTTATGTAACTGCAAAATACAGTATTTGTATCTGACAACCATGAATAAATTTAGGATTAAAGTTGTCGATAAGAAGAGGAACAGGGTCTGTATAGCTATAGAAGTCTGTAGTAACAGCAGGTAATAACAAGATTTTCAGAATTGTGAGAATACTGATCATGGCCCACTGTAAAGGATCATTTCATTCCTCCCACCTAGAATTAGCAAAATAGACTCAAATCCAAACAACCACCACATACCTCTCCTCCATTAACAAAATCCAGGACAAAGTAAAGCTTTTCTGTTGTTTGGAATGAGTAATGTAATCCCACCAAAAATGGATGCTTCACATTTTTCAAAAGCACATTACGTTCAGCCATAATATGTTTTTGCTGTAAGGAAGTAAAAGATCAATAAGTAAACAGGAATGATTTTGTAATTAAAGGAAAAAGGAAGGGAGGTGGGTGGAGAAAGAGTATTTCTTTTTACCTCTTTCCTATTAAGAACAATTTTTTTCTGCAGCACTTTGACAGCATAGTATTTCCCATCCAGTTTTCGTTTTGCAAGAAGAACCTGTGAAATTCAAATCAAATTATGAAATGTGATTGTTGCAGTTCACATTCTGTTAGTAATATTTTAATAATTTCAGCATAACTGGAAAGTATGCGTGCTATTTTTTTGCAATAAAATTTCTTTGCTTTTAGTATAGTCAATCAGTAATATAATCACCAACAGAGTGAGCTACAGTTCAGCAAAATCTGTCATGCTAGTGATAACATGAAAGACTGAATTATAACATTTATTTTCCAGGACCTGCTGAATCTCTATCAAGTTCAATTTCAGCTGGTTTTTTCAGTTTTAAAGATAATTTAATGGAAAACAACAACTTGAAAAATAACCCAAAACCAAAGATTTCAAGAGGGATTCTCTGCTGCATCTTTGTAGAATATCACGTCACTTTTCAATGGGCTGTTGCTCACACTGTTCCATAGCGTTACGGGTTTGATAAAACAGTCCATGCCAACAAAGGGAAATGCACGATTCGTACTCCAGCTGCTGCACAAGCAACAGGGGTACCTCCCTTCCTCTCTGGGGGAAACAGAGGATCCCCATTGCCCTTAATGAGAAAGGGAAATGCTCCCTTTTGTTACTCCCAACAAGTGACAGAGGCAGCCAACTGCCACACCAGGGGAAAAATGGCAGGGCTATAAAGAAGCAGCAACAGGGATCCAATACGACAGTTTATACACCACCCTAGACTGACACCACTTCCAAAACCTCTGGCCAAGTCTAGCCAAGAGTCAGTACACACAAGACACCAGCCAGCATCCTTGCACCAGGGTAAGATGCAGTAATAAGAAAGCTCACCTTGCCAAAGCTGCCTTTCCCAATAACTTTCAGGAAATCAAAGTCTGTTGGTTTAGCACTGAAAGATATTTAGGAAGGAGACAGGTCATCTGGATAGAAATTACAAGCTTTACAGCTGTACAACAGGCTACTGTAGCACTTGAGTTGTAATGTGAGAAGAACAGTCTGTTAGCAACCTCCTCTATTCTTCATTCTACCCAACACCCAGACTTCTGCAGACCTTCTCTTGGAGACAATGACGCTTCTTCATTTTGCAATTCTGTTTTCCCATTTAGTTTTCCTCCAGGGAAAGTACTCAAGTTGCAACCTTTGAGTTTATTTTATTTTGTAAGTTTAAGATGTAAAGGAGGAGCAAGACTGTTCTTTTATTCTCCACAGTCTAGTTTCTTGTAATTTTTAAGTCTCCATTTCCCCATGACTTCCTGGAGCTTATGTCTCATTTCCAGAGGGCCAAATGGATTCTTAAGCTTACACAAAGGAAGGAAGGAAGGACCAAGTTTGTTATCTATTCTCTCTTTGCATATCCCATCCTTCCCTCCGTCCATTCCCCTCTCATTTTAAATTACAGCAAGAGGAGTCAGGCCCTAAGACCTTCCTCTTCTGTGTGTGTATGTATGAACTCACTCTCAGTTTTTCCACTTCCCACATCACCACTCCTTTTCAGTTATTTCCCAGGATTCCCTCACTTTTTCCTAAATACAATGTGGAGATATTTTTGTCAGCAAAACAATTATCCATGTTTTCAAATTCCGAAACAACAGTTACATCACCATGCACCTCTCCATTTATTGCCCCTGAAGGGAAGTACTCTTAAATTTCATTTCTTACTGCAATCTACTAAGCATTTCCTCCTGTTGGCCCAGAACAAATCTGAGGAAAGCAAAACCAAAATAGCAGTCACCTCCTAGATGAGAAATGCACAGATTCACAGAGAACTGATAACAGAAACTCTACAGAAGACACCAGAGAAGCAAGTTATGACTGCAGTAACTAGGTTTGTAGTATCAACAAGGCAAGCTGCTCCTTTGCCATGCATTAAAACAAGCTTGTTTTCAGAAACTCTTCATATTCTTAACAGTTGTGCGACCACTCCCAAAACAGAGAGGTCATCTTTGCTATAGCATCCTTAAGTAAAAGGATAGCAGACTAACAAAATCGGAAGGCGAAAAGAAAAAAACGTTTGAAAAGTGGTTGTTTATGTAGCACAGGATTCAATGTTTTGCTTCCTCCTGAGCAGTGCAAATCAACAAATAAAAGCATATATCCAAAGAACTTTTCATACTATTAACAATTACACTCAGTCTAATTTTTCAGGTTTTAAAATTAATTTAATAAAATGTCATTAAAATAAAAAAATTACATTAAATTGAATTACATTTTAATTCAATTTAATTGAAACCTACTGAGGATTTCCAGATGGTCCCAAGTTGATATTCTGTGAGGTAGAGTTTAACTGTTGGGAGAGACAAAGAGCTTTATTTTTCTTTTCTTTTTTTTCTTAATTCTCTCTTCTACTTCAACCAATATTAATTTCAAAATACTCTACTAATTTGCTCAATCCATACCTTCACACTTGTTACATTAGATTTTTAAAGAGATCTAACATCCAGATTGGAAACTTCTTAAGTCGAAATATCTGGCCATCATCACCTTGTCACAAATTATTTCTACACACATCATCCTCAAGGATGGAGGTAATAAAATAATTGTGTCCAGACACAGAGGACAGATTAGCAACAAAGATTTAAGAGCGTTTCAACAAAAAACCTGCTCCTTATCCTTAACCCTTTTCTGTACTTGCTCTAGGAATGTATTTTCTACCTTTTATTCTAAATTTTCCAACATCTTGACAATAAAATAATTTTCAACCCATACTGTTTATGCAACAGTAATTAATGAAGGACATGGTGCTTTTAAAAAAAACAAAAGTGAACATTCTCCCCACCCCAAGGAAAACATTACCAACCTTTTCTATCCTGACATTAAAGGTTAACTAACTCAATTCCAGGAATGGCATGAATCTTACCCGTACACACCCAGACAGAATTTGTAAACTACAGGGAGAGGAGGAAACCACTGTCATTTAGGTAATATTCTCCCATTTTGTTTTTCATTAAAAAAAGCAGTATTTGTACTCTCATTGTGGTTTTGGACTTTATCAGAGAAGGATAAACTGCATATAAGTACAAGTTACCTGGGGACAGGCTAGCAGGCATCACAAAACCAGCACTCCTACAGAAGCAGAGAATGCCCTGACAGCAGCACTGGATGCTACTATTCACTAATAAGAGCCAATCACACAATGGTACCGGACAGTTTTAAAAAAGCTACTAGAGTAAGTCAAGATTTTTCTTTTCTTGAGGGCTTGTTTTTGTTCCTTATTCTTCAGCTTCATCACTTACAGTAACTATGACAAGGTGGATTTTCTATCAAAAAGTATGGTCCAGGCTACTATGCATTAGCCCTCTTCCTATTTTGGAATTTGTTGTGGCATGACACATCATTAATTTTCCACAGAAGGTTTAGATCATTCCACATTACTTAAAACACCTTTCAAAGGAGGAAGAAACTGGTATTTTAAATTAGAATTTTGCTGCATGCTTACAGTGCTGTCAAGCACTTTTAAAAAAAAAAAAAAAAAGGCAAAGACTGGCATCTTTGGATGTGAAACTTTCAGAAATACTAAATCTGCTGTGGATTACACACAAACCAAAATGACAACTCTTACATCTTTAACAGGGGCTGAATAAGAAGAGAAGTACTAAGATCACATCTGTATGCCAAGAAGTAAGCCACAGAGAAAACAAGCTTAAATATGGCACTTCTGCCTTCCTAGAAATACTCCTTTTTTCAAACAGCAGTGTTTCCGGAGGCTGTAAATTTATTTTCAGAGAATCCATCTAGCTATGTAGTGGCTTTTGTGACAAAGAGGCTTTAGACCTCACACAGTGTTATATGTGAAATGAAATCTAATCCATCCTTGCTCCTAAGTGACTTTTAGAAGGACTGCATTTTTCCCGGGAGGATTGTATTTCTCCCCCTATTTAAAAAAAACAACACACAAGCAAACTAAAAGACAATTAAACATTCAATCTCCCCTGCTCCTTGCCAGATGTTCTTAGCAGGAATCTTTTAAGAGATTGCAAAAACTGTGACAGCTGAGCTATGACAAAAGCTGTGTTTCTTTAACCCATATAGCAAGTGGGGAAGAAGCAAAACCAAGCTAGCAGTCACTTTTACCCCTCTCTGTGCTCACATCCGACAGAAGAATATCTTACAGCCGACAGTGAAACAGATTTGTTTAAAAGAGCACGGATGGGATTTATTGTGAAACCAACCAGTAATTTTCAGTAAATAATATATCTAAGACTGCCCTCAAGTAGCTAAACTTTAGCAGACTATTCTACTTCTGTTTTATTACCTTCCGACTGCTCCTTTCATCTTCATCTTCAGATGGATCAGACTGGTGTTTTGGGTTATCCATCTGAAGAAATGCTCTGACATCTGGGCTAGAAATACGGTTAACTTCATTAGCACACCAGTAATATGCATGATTTTCAGCCATAACCATAGGAAGCACAGGATTAAACAGCACTGTACAGAGGAGTTACTCATAACAAAGCTTTATATTTAAGTTCTGGTAATTAAGGACTGTGTACAAGAAATGTTTTTATAGCAACATAATTCAACTCCTGAGTGTGTTATATACAGTACCTAAAATTTTCCACTTGCAAAAAAATGACATATTAAAGTATATGTATGTGAAGACTTCATAATGAAGTGGTCTGCAGAACTGCATTCAAAGGTAACTACTAGAAGAAAGAACACTATCCATAGCATGAGTTGTAACCGGCTAGCAACCACCAGGAAGCCAACTTTCTTTCAAAAACTGAAGACTTTAAAACCCTTTTTAGTTTTCCAAATTAATGAAATAGTCCAACACAATACAGAGTGAAATACATAGTCTGCATCCCAAAGAGAGATGCATGTCCCAAGAGGAACATGGTAGTAACGTTCCTGTCCCCATTCGCTTTAAAGCAGAAGATGGTGATTCAGAGTGCATTCTAGCTGAGCACTGACAACATAAGAAATCCTTCTAGTCAGCTGCAGAACACAAACGCTATCCTTCAGGAACCGGCAAGAGAGACTACAACCTTCCCATACTACCTAAGAAGACACATTTTAACTTCAGCATTGGTTTCTAGCTTCTGTCTTGGTGGGGGCTGGGGGAGGAGGACTGGGAGAAAGGAGGGAAATAGAATTCCAAGAACCCGCTCCCAGGAAGCAAGGCTTACCCAACGGTAAGTTCAAAAGAATGTAACGTCTTTCTTAACCACAGCACAATGAGGGAGTAAAGAATAACATAATACAAGTGAGGCAAAATGAAATCCCAAACAAATGGGCATCTCGTATAGCCTTTATATCACTTGAAGAGATGACTTGAATCTTTCAAGTTACTTCAGTTCACTAAAAGGCAACCTGCTTATCAAGGATGAAACCTTGCCTAAATTTCAGAGATAAAGTTCTTTGAGAAGGTCTCAGGGCAGCCACTGATGGGAAACTCTGCATGAGCCATTCAGTACAGAAAAGCACTAACTTACTATGGAGCTGCTTTTATCTTATCCCAAGTATATAAAAAATAGGGTAGTTTTATCTAGGAAGCAGATGTACTTGCTTTGCTATTTTCAATCCATTTCACCCTCCACACTTCTGTAAAGTGAGGATCAGAAGAGATGAGCTGTTTCTAACATTCCTCCAGCTCCTGTACTTCATATTAGCATTACTGAACTTAATTCATGTCCTATGCTATCTGATGCTCCCAGTTTCCATTGCTTACATTCTGTATTCCTAAACCCTATTTGAAATCAGTTTCAGTTACCTTCAGCCTTTCAGGTCTAAAAATACAGCAACAAGACTGGTCACACAGTTTCCTACCATCATTTTGGTTTACTTCTTCCCATCTTATATGAACTCCAAGTTCTGATCTGTTTCAGGGTCTGTCTTGTATCCTGAGTCCCAGGATGACAAACATCACTGTGGTTTGAATATTGTAGTAATATTGGCTCATGATGCAGCAATTTAAGTTTCGAAATCTTTGGATATCATAACATCAAGAATAAAAAGTTATGGTTAATGCTTTTCACTAGACAGAACAACAAAACCAGACCTTCACTGCCTTTCAGCATTAATTACTCTGGACAACTGGCTGATTAAATAGAGCATGTTGTAATACATCTCAAATAGTTACTATAGTAACTTTGTCCATGACTGAATTCACAGCAGGAAAAAAATTTTAAAAAATATCCCTTCACAGTAAAAGGCTGCTGTACAGTTGCAGGGTATTCAACAATCTCCACAATACGTGGCAGCCAGAAGCGTAACTGATCAACGTTACATTGTTCACATCTGTAATTTTAAAAGCACTGCAAAGAAGCAGTGATTAAAAAGAAGTTTAACGTACCAAATTCTTAGCCAAGACTGCAGCATGTTATGCAAAATGCTATATAGGTTGGTAGGACTTCTATGCTATATTAGCTCACATGTATTAACTCAATGTATTTTAAAATACGCTGAAACTATTCCTAAAATAACCTCACACATCAAGCTAAAAGGATAAAGAAAACAGTTTTAAAAGGGATGCTTGATATACATTGTACATGTACTACCAGCAAAAGCTGGTTTTGTCTGGATTTTTATGATTGACTGGGTAAATTTAGTTTATGGATTATCTCCGAAATCCACAAAGTGGTGTCAAGCTCTGCCTAAATACTGTTCCTTCCAGGATACTTGTTCTGCATTAGCCTTCCTGCAGAAACATATGAAGCCACACAAAAAGAGCACAACTAATGCAGTGCAAGGTTTGCTTTCCCCAACGTGGACTGCAAGATCTTATAATCCAGGGGTTTCATATTCATTTTCATATTCAGACTTCAAAACCAGAAAAATCTAGTCACTCTGATTTTCTTCTAGGAAACATATGCAGGACCCCGCTTCTCACTTAAAGAACTGATGACTCATTTTCCCACAGAGGTTGCAGGGTACTGTCATCCTCGAGTTCTTCAAGTGTTATGCAAATGTTCTCATTTTCATTAAGGAGCTACTTTGGACTATTTAAAAATAACTACGTTACATCTTTAACGCTTTCTCTATTACACATTTGGATTCAAACAGATTTCCTTTGGACGTGTTCTGATAGACAACTAAAGGCATTACTTTTTCAGTGAAGACCTACATTTGAGGGGGCGAGCAGCCCAATTTGAATAGTTGCTCAGTGACTTAGGGGGCCTCACAGTGCTCACAAGTAACAAACTCCCAGCTCCTACTCAGTCAGCAAGGGGGACTCATTATCAGATCAATATCCCTTCTGACTTTTTTTGCAACATCTGCATTCTATCCATGAGAGCAAGTTCTCTATCAAATGCAGTTAGCCAAGCGTATGCAGCTTGAAGCTAGCCCACTTAATTCCCAATTCAGTCTAAGCCAATGATCCATCTCGCCCCATATTCCATCTGACAGCTGATTGCAGGAAAATCCTTATCAACTATTCCAGGGTCTCTCTAATCACTCTAATGCACTTCAGTTTTTTGTTGTGTTTATTATTGAACAGAAAGGTTTGGCTTTGATACAATATTCAACAGACACGTCAGACCCAAGAACAAAGTCCCCCAGGGGGGAGGGGAATAAGAAAAGAAAGAACACAGTGCTGTATGTTTCAGAGAATAATGTAAATATTACCACCCTGAACACACTGAATCTCAAGTTTGTGCTTTTCAACTCAGATGTTCAGGTGCCTTCCCTTCCAGGAATGAGGACATCATCATGAACTATCCTTAAGCTTTTAGTGAAACAGTTTTCCTAGGCAGGACTTAAAAATACGACATCCTGATACTGCATTTAAAGCTTAAAAGATGTAGTGAAAGGTGGACTTCCTTAAAGTTCTGTGAGAAGGCACAACCCCCTAAGTCTTCCTTGCACGTTACTAACTTTACATAAGTTGTTTTACCTAATATCAAATTTAATTAGCACATTAAAGCAAAACAGTCTAAGAAAGCAAGGATGTGGACTATCTGTGAAGACTCAGTCACCACATATTCCTTGAGTAGTTTCTAGCAGATTTTACAAAAAACCATCAACCAACCAACCAAGGTCATAAAGTTTTGGTATTTCTTCACTAATAACATTAATTGGCACATAGAAAAGGTGACAGATGATGTAATTATTAATATGATTTGTTGCAATGGAGCACTGCAAAAAGTAAAAGCTCACTCCAGAAAAACAAAGTACCTTGGAGTTATTAAAAGAAAAACACCACAGAAAGTACTATAAAATTAAATGCTCTTGCACTGAATTGTGAAACTAAAGGCTTGCTTTTTCTCCCACATAAATCACTCTTGCTTTAAGAGTGGGGTGGAGAAGAACAGCACAAGACAAACTTCAGTCTCTATTTTATTTTTATTGTAGAACTATGCCTAATAAGCTTCTTATTTAACACACTTTCAACAGCACCAAACACTTCATAAGAACTATTTCTTAATACTGGTTTAAGTTAGTTTTAATGGATCAGACAGACTAAGTGCCATGTTAAAGAACACAGATTCAGCTACAGATGCATTTGAGCGTGAAACAGTTCTAAAAGCTCACAAAAATTTAAGAAGGTAAGTGGATTTGAGGTTTAGCTTTTTTTTGTTTAAACACACAATTTTGTGATGTGCATAAAAAAAAAGTACCATTTTACCTTTGGAGAACAAATATATGTTTTGAGACAAAATATTTTGTACTTGGACATACTGACAACCGAACAGGGGAGGGGACTGTGCTAAATAAAACCAGTGTCCTTTCCTAACATAACAAAACAGATTAGCTTTCAATAATTAGTTATTTTAAAGTGCTTTCTATTCTTTCCCAGGAAAGAACACAACTACGACCACAAACCTCGCAGTATTTATTCTAGTGGAAAACTATTCCACCGTAAAGACTTTGTTTGGACATTTTTTCCACTTATCACAAGGAAGTATATATAAAATGCTCTTTTTTTCCAAAGAAGAAAAGGAAGTACATATTTCAGGTTAATAAGGACATTAAATAGTTCATTTGTTGGAAAAAAAAAAATAATCTGACTGCACACTGCAAACTGCAGCAATAGAGATTAGAGATTTTTTTTTTTTTCCTGTGGGAAACTGGCAGTTTCACCAGTTGTACAGATAGGCTAATTAAACAAAGCATATGTATTAAAGACATTTACTCAACACTAAAGCCAAACATAGAGCTTTACCATTTTACTTGTACAAGCAACATAGAAAGCTGCATGGATTTAGTTTAAACTGATTAGGTAGAGATTCAGACTGAAAGAAAAATGCAGTTTACCCCCCAAATCAGTTCAGACACAGAAGCACTATCCTCCAGATTTAACTGGAGCTGACTCTAGCATGTCACCGTCTCTCATTCATCACCATCCCACTGATGGAGGTTAACACACCTGCAGTTCTTCCGACAGAACAGTTTATGTGCGAGCTTATTCATTTGCTTTAGGCAGGTCAGCTTGGTTATCCCAAGCCACCTAAGCAAGCAGATTAAGCTACTTGGTTAACATGCTTAAGACAAGTTCTGGAGCAGACACATGAACTGCTCTAACAAAAGGATGCAGGCAGTGACTTAGTCCCAGAAGGACAATGTACTAGCTAGTGACAGTAGAGTTTTCAAGCAGTGAAGCTACCAGCAAAACAAATGCCTGCCCTACAGCAACAGAGTTTACACTGGAATCTGTGCCTCTTGAACTAAAATCAGTTAACTGACGGCAAGTTTATTTGTGGATCGGTTTTCAGACTGTTCATCAGTCTGTAGATTTTTCCTGAAGGAATGAACAGCTATATTAAAGTTTATTATACTTAAGAGCACTGAACAGGTAGAATATATTTTCTGGTTAAAAGTACTTCATTTGCAATTTTCTATTTGACATCTCACGTCTTTTAAACAGTCGTCATAAAATAGAAATGAAACTACTTACTGGTTGCATAGCTCTGGCTGTCTAACTAAATTCTGAATGAATTCATTCAATCCTGCTCTTCTCTGTTTAATGAAATCTGGAAAAAAGAGATAGATTTATTACCATGATCACTCACCTTGTAAAAAAGATTATTTTAAAATTTAGGGGTTTTTTAGAACTTGAACAGCAGTTATAAAGAGATTGGATCACAATTGGTTCTGTATATGAAAATCACAAGCTTAAAACATCCAGGTGAGGTGAGAGAACAAGTTTCAGTTTCTCTACTACGCTACCCAAAAAATGTAGAAAGCCAGGTAGATTAAAAGTACACGGAAGTGCTTCAAGAATAGCGTGTAACCACAGGGGGCTAACCTGTGCAGCCATCATTGCACGGGTGAGCCCTTCAGGACCTGACTCCACTCAGAAAAAGGCCACAGGCAAAACCTGACATCAGTTGCACAAGTCAAGTTTTTACAAGAACAGTCCCACCAAGCAGCATATTTCCATAATACATGTATGGCAGTGGGAAAGTTGCACAATTCATCCAGCCGGCAGGCACTCAGATGTAACCATTAAAGATAATTAAATAAAATGCCTTTTTTTTCCATTTTGGACATCACCTCTAACATAAAAAAAAAAAAAAAATCTTCAGAAACTCCACTCACATCCAAAGCTTAAAACACGTAACTTTTCTTTAGCAATATGGAGAGATACACAAGGGACTTGAAACAGAAAATGAGCTCTAACATAAAATAAAGTGTAAACCAGAATAATCTTGTCTTTCATTACTCGTATCAACAACAATTTGTACAGAAAAATAATATTTAACTTGTGTATTAACTTTTAAGGTATTCCAATGACTCTTTCTGTCACATATAGATTACTGATAACTATTAAAATTTTAAATGAAAATTAAATTTAAATTAAAAGCTGTATTTCAAATGTTAAGAAAAATGTTCATATTGTTTCAGGGATGTAATCCCTAAACCCTTGTTAGGGTATTTAATAATCCCAAATTACTGACATCAAACAGGAAAGTAAATCTGCATAAAGATATTATGGGAGTCACCAACATCTGCAGTTTCAATATGGTGGATGTACAATGCAATCAGTCATGCCAAGCCTACAGAGCTATCTGTGTTGTTGAAGATAAAAACACCTGCATCACGTCAGCTCAAACACAGTCTGTAATTTTCTAGTTCTGTGTTCTGACTGGTTTCTATGATTTCCCCCTGCCTATTTTTGAAGTTAAAACAAGATTAATTTTGAAATAACCTAAGTGACAATTAAAATGGAGCATTTAGAGGACAATGTATACTATGACTATTTTTGGCAGACTTTGCGAAAAGGGATACGTAAGTTTCACTCTACTGCGCTTACGACTCCAATGCAATAGTACAAAGCTGCATACCCAAGCATGGATTGACAGAAGTAAAATACCTTTTCACCATTTGTAAAGTATGTGACTTATTTCATAAGCCAGCAGAAGCATTACATCAAAGCTTCAATAAATCAGTGCTACGATAAAGAATTATTTAAACGAGCATCATGGCTCCATCTCCACCCTGCCCCGCAGCAAGAAACATCTTGAGAACTATTTAATTTCTCGTACTTCAAGGATTTCAGGATAGTTCACAGAAATTTAAAACAAGTCTGAGGACTTTGTTTTACATATATAGTTTTAATAAAGTTTTAGGGTTGTTTTCCCCCCTCCCCCACTTAAACTCCAGTTTCCTAAATTTGACTCAAGGAAATCCACCCGTACATTTGGCTGCACAGCAGACCAGACTGCATGACATTACTAAATGGGAGATTCATGTCAGGATCCAGATGATTAACTGTCACTGCCAAAAATTAATTTGTTTAAAACAACTCTCAAAAACCCAAAACAACACATCCCAAGAAGTTCAAAATCTTTGGATCCATTTGTTCTTCAGCAAAGGAGAAAATGACATGCTTGAAACAGGTGCAGTAGGAGGTGGAACTACAAACACAGTCTGATCCACATCAGCAAGCCAGGGGAGGGTGGGAGGTTCCCAACGACCACCAGGAAAACCCTTAAGTAAAAATGGCCTGAATGAAGGGTATAAACACACAGAGCAAAGGCCTGGCCTCCCATCTGCCTTTTTATTTATTCACCAGTGGTGCCACCTAGGTTAATTCAATGCACTTTACAAGTGATTTTCCATTAGTATTCTGATGTGGACAGAGCAAGCTTAATTGGGACCTATCACTGCTAACTGGATCACATCATGTTCATATCAGACAGGCTTCTGTAGGTGGAACAACAACAGGAAGAGGTTTATTTTCATCTAAACTGTACAAGGAAGCACATTTAGATACAGAAAGTTCAAAAGCCTCCAAAGATAAATCCTTCAGTTATTTAATTTT